CAATGACCTTTATGACTTCTACTGGTTTGGATTCTGTAGATGGTGAGGTTGACTGCAAATTAGATTCTGCAATGTACCTTGTTCCTTACTTTTTCACCCACTGATTAGTTTCATATAGTTGACAGCAGCCTACCCCGTTGCTTTCAGCTTGCAATTTTGTAGCAATCTGAAACACTGCATTCAATCCCCTAAGGTGTTCTGTGGAAATGCTGTCAAACGATTTCAATGTATGTGTGTTTTCATTCTGTAGCTGTGCTTTGTACTCATTTAAGAAAACCAGTCTTTAATTTGTAACAGAACATTTTTTGAGATGAAACAGAATTCCAGGCCTCAGCAAAATCACTGACATATGACCACAGCCTTCTGTTCTAAATCTCGATGTGCCTAAATTCTATTAGATACAAAACAGTATTTTTGAATCTTGTTATAGAATGTGACTTTAAATATATGGCTTCAAATTTGGCCTTAAAATCTACTAATTGTCATTATGCTTGCCATCATCATCTGGCTCCAGTTTATCCTTCTAATTTCCACTCTCATCCCTCTTACTCTATATCCCATACTTACTTGTACTTCCTTGAAATGCCTAGCTCTCTCACTTTTACCTGACGTTGCCCACATATAGCACCTCTACGTAGAATGCCATGTCTTCCACTCCCTACCTCTTTATCTCAGGCATTTCCTATTCCAGAAAGCCTTTCTTTACACCCAAACACACTTTTTGAATCAAGTACCTTTCTTTTGTCTCTCATGTAGTTTGCACATGATTTAATCAAAATATTCTTTCTGGATAGTAATAACTGGTTTGCTTGACTGTCTTCCTCACTAGACAAAAACTTTTTAGAGAGCAAGTCAGTACCTATTTGAATCTGTAAGTAGGTAGCTCTTAAATGTTTGCTGGATAAATGAATGCTTCCGAAAAAACTATTTGTCATTTGATTGAAAAGACAGCAAAAATTTGCTACCTGAAAGTATTATATTAGCTTTGCTACATTTAATTATGACAGCAATCAGTAAACACAGTTTATAGTCTTATCAGTAAAATATAGTTAATAATTTCAGTGTACAGGCTTACCACTCTGGAAATGCAAGTTATTTTTTCAAATAAATACTTATATGATTCTAGTCTTTGCTTTCTGAATTTCAAACATCATATTCAGAATTAGATTAGGTCAAACATCTAACTCATAGACCTTTTCTACTTCTTAAAATGTCAAATGAAGAAATATTAGAAAATTGTTATTTGAACTAGTAGAATTGTATTTAGATTTATCACTCACACAGAATGAAAAACAATTTTGACTGGTTTTGAATTGAAACACACACACATACACACACATAAATACACACATACACACAATCTTAAAAAAAAACAAGACTGTATGCAAGTATTGTTTCACATTTTCACTGGGAACGGAAGATGTATCAGTATATTCATGTCTCCTGAGTTTATAGCTAATGTTTGCATTTGATGATGTACTGTTATTCGGCAAAAGGAAATAACATTTAGAACAAAAATAATGTCTCTCATTTTCTTTTTGATTAATAGTGTTTTGTCTCCTGTAATTTGTAGGTGTTATTTGGAAGATGGAGCTTCAAAGGGTGCCTGGCTGAACCGGTCGAGTATTATTTTTGCGGGAGGTGATAAGTGGTCAGTGGATCCTCGAGTTTCAATTTCAACTTTGAATAAAAGGGACTACAGCCTCCAGATACAGAATGTAGATGTGACAGATGATGGCCCATACACGTGTTCTGTCCAGACTCAACATACACCGAGAACAATGCAGGTGCATCTAACTGTGCAAGGTATGCATTTTCAGAACTGTTATATTGTGAAGGACTATCCTTAGAATGTTTAATGTTTAGGTATCACAATGATTCAGAAGCAATTGACTCATCGTTGAGTTAATGTTGAAATATATGTTGTCGTTGTCTTAAGGGATTTATGTTTCAGGTGCCGTTAAGTGTAATAGCTATTACAGGCATACAAATCCCCACTCAACAAAGATCAAGAAATATGCATGAAGAAACACTGCATTATAATTTTTGTATATAATTCCTTTTGTGTCTTCCTTTAAATCACCCTGGAAATAAATCTTTGAGAATCCTTGATTGATACATCAAAATAAATCTTTGAGAACTTATGATACATTAAAATATTAGAACTTTTTGGAATATGGATGGTAACACTTTAAAAGCAATTCTCCATGCCTTCCAGTACTCTGTCTCAGTTCAACTTCTGTTTCCTTTGACTCAAGTTACAATGAAAAATAGTTACCTTTTAGAATAGGATTAATTTATTTAAATATAGAGTAAAGGAAATATATGTACACAATGCTTTATACATTGATTTACTTTTAGTAGATCATAAATCATGCTAGCTAACTTTCAATCTTCAAATACAAAGTCATGAAATTATTTTATTTCTTTTCCATACTAAAATGTAAGAGCATACGTACCCCCAACACAAATGCATTTCAAGAAAAATGCAATTATAATGCTAAGAGAATGGAAAAAGTTTATTTTTGCCCTTTTACGTCATTGCCTTATATTTTTATAGGTTAATCATGTATTAATTATATGGGAAATTAGGCTCTATGGATCTCAAAAATGACATTACAGTATTTCTAAGTAAAATTAATAACAAATTATATGATAATATGGTGCCAATCCATGCATGTTTTATTCCTAACAGGAAAGTCGAGTGAGCAAGTTAGTTGTACTCTCTCTGAATTTACCCTTCAATAAGTCAAGGCTAAAAATTAATTTACGTACATGGCTGAAGTCTAGAAAAGATTGTTAATCTATGACTTTATTAACAATGAGCTTTATTTCCCTACATACAGTAAACCTGAATTCAAACACAGCTTCAATTATTAGTACAGTAACTATTTTAACTTCATGATAAGGTTAAACTTCTGAATTAAACAATTAACTTTAAGGAGGAAAGTATACATTGAAAAATAAGTCAATGAATTTCTTCAGTGGTTTTTCTTATTACAGATTATTGAAGACTGTGATGATCTTCATTATTTGAAAGTAGCATATGAGGACATAATAAAGTTTTCATAAGACTCCATCTTTATTCAGAGATTATACAGGGACTCCAGAGGGTAGAAGTTTGTCAAATTTCAAATCTGACATGAGATTGTAAGACAAAAACACATTTCTTATGTTGTTCAGGCCTAATCCTATTCTTTTTTTGAGTTCTGTGATCTTTGACTTGAGTTTCTAGCTGAAAGACTATAAAAGATTTTTATTATGTGAGAAAAAGTGTACTTGGGCAATAATATATTCAAGTCACTTAAAATACAGCCATTTTGCTTGTATGCTTTAAACTTGTAGGTTTAAATGGTGTATTTCTGAATAATAAATATATCCCCTTCTCCTTTTTCTACTCTCTCTTGGTCCTTGTTAGGCCTATATTTTTAAACCAGACTGTGGGTAGATAATCTCTACCCAGGCACATGTTTAATTCTTACAGGATTGCCTTATAACTTTGTATTATATAGATTATTTAATATTGTTCACATTTTCAAAATTGCTGCATGCCTTACTACGGTATTGTTTTTTGCTGGCCCTGTGATGATGAACTTTTGAACTATTAGTAAAGTACACATTGAATGATTTTTCAGTATAATATTTTGTTTCTCTAGAAAATGGCTACAAATATACTCTTAGAAGAAATAGGACCTGGTGTTCAGTAGATCAGTGGGGTGACTATAATTAATCTTAATCTATTGTACATTTCAAAATAGCTAGAAGAGAATAATTCTAATGTTCCTAGCATAAAGAAAAGATAAATATTTAAGATAATGTATATCCCAATTACCCTAATTTGATCATATGAGTGGATCAAATTATCATATGTCCCCCCCAAAAATATATATATATCTAATATGTATCAATAAAAAATAAAATGATCATTCTGTTAGTAAAAAAAAGAAAATCCATGTTTACTATTTTGAAAGCATGTGATTCGGTCAAATTAAAAGCTAATAATTTTACAGTATTTATGAACATAATTACTTATCAGAAGTTGATTGACATGCGGGCAGTTTTCCAATTACGTTAATAAAGTTCAGGGAATACATTAATAGGCCTGTCAGTCAATTTAAGAATTAAATAAATGTCATAAGTCAACCCCACTTAAGCTACATTTCCTCTTAGTGAACAGAAATAAACTGATGTGTACATCTTTTCTGTCTCTAAATTTATTAGACTGTTTGATGCTCAAGTTTATCTGGATAGTGTTGAAGCATATGCTTTTTGCTGAACAATTTGTCAATATTTTATTCACCAAATAAAGGAACTTAGGAAGTGAGGGAAGGCTGCATTAATCACTGATGTTCAACATACATTGTCTGGTAATAGCAAAGTTCATCTTCAATTGTTGCAACTATATATCCAAGATAGCTATTAAAAAAAAAAAAAATTGAAAAGAGGATTAAAAAAGAGGATATCTTGCCAATCCAGACACTATCCATGGGAAATTTATTGGTAGTACTATTGATTTCTTAGAGCAATTAATAAAAATTAATGGAATAATGGGGGAGGAAAAACACTAAAATAAAAGTTGAGAAATGTGGATTCTAATCCTAATTTTTCCTTCATAAAATGGATAATTATCAATCTTCTCTGAACTTTACTTTCCTTATTTGAAAGAGGATTCAGACAAGAAGATCGTTAAGCCCCATGCTAGTCCAAAACAAAAACACAGATGATACAAACAAACAAAAAGCAAAAACAAAAAAACCTAGTATGATTATTTCCTTTTGACTTAAAAGAAAAAAAATGTATTTAAGTTTAAAATGGAAAAATATTCTATAACTCTTATTGAGCACAAACATGCAATATTTTTTTTTTTTTGAGACAGAGATTCACTCTGTCACCCCAGCTACAGTGTAGTGACATCATCCTAGGTCACTGTAACCTCAAACTCCTGGGCTCAAGCAGTCCTCCTGCCTCAGCCTCCCAAGCAGCTGAGGCTACAGGTGCTCACCACCACACCCAGCAATTTTTTTCTATTTTTAGTAGAGACAGATGGAGCCTCACCCTTGCCCAGGCTTGTCTCTAACTGCTGACCTCAAGTGATCCTCCTGCCTTGGCCTCCTGGAGCTAGAATTATAGGTGTGAGCCACTGCCCCTGGCCACATATACAAAATAATTTTTACACACAGCCTCTGCTAGCATTTACTCCACAAGTACATTTTATTTTTCTTTATATTTTCTTTATATTTTTCTTTCACAATTGATATACTCATGAAATTTTAAGAATGTGGTAAATCGGAGTTTGGCTTTAAGGGGGTGGAAATTGGCTAATAGACTATGTAAGAAAATAAATTTTTTCATTACCTATATATAATATGGTGCTGATAAATCAAATTTCTAATTATTCAGTGTTTCAAATTCTGTGGTTCAACATTTACTAAGAGCAATCTTCCCTGTTCGTAAGTATAAAAATGTATGAGGCTGGAAGACTTGTTATGAAGCCAGAGCTCTCTATTACACCATGGAAATAATAGGAATCATGAAATGTAAATACTGCTCACTCCAGTATATCACTGGGATTGTTCTGCGGTTTGAATGTGCCCCCCAAATTTTATGTGTTGGAAACATAATACCAAATGCAACAGTATTGGGAAGTGGGGCTTAATAAGATGTAATTAAGTCATGAGGGCTCTGCCCTCATGAATGGATTAATGTCATGGTCATGGGAGTGGGTTATTAGTTATTATGAGAATAGGCTTGTTTTATAAAAGTAAGTTTGGCTGCCTCTTGCCATCTTGCTCTTGGCCTCTCTTGCCCTTCCATCTTCTGCATGGGATTATGCAGCACAAAGTCTTCACCAGATGCCAGTGCCATGCTCTTGGACTTCTCAGCCTCCAGAACTGTGAGCCAAATAAATTTATTTCATTATAAATTACCCAATCTGTGGTATTCCATTCTACCTACATAAAATGAACTAAGAAAAATTGTTCCTACTTTGAGTTCTACATAATGTCTAAAGTCTAGGTTGTCTATATCACAAATTAGACACTCATAGATATTGTGTATTAAATAAGTGCATATGAAATGTTTATCACTTAACTCATGCCCTCTCAGGGGGGTATACTCTAGGTTTTTTCCAGGCAGAGTAGAAAGAGATTTGACTAGCACATAACTCTGTATCCAAAATAACGTAAGTGTATTTAACTTCCCCAGGGTATTGTAATTTCCTCAAGGTACCTGACTTACCCAGAGTACTTGTGACAGCTGGGGTGCTACACTTCCCTTTTCAAGATGATTCTCTAGCTGCTGGGAGTATATTCAGCAGACAGCATTCAGTGGCCAGCCCTTCTGCGGAGAGCCTCAGCTATAGAGATCTACCTTGTCCAAGGTCAAAGGCAGCTGATATCCAATGACTGATTGAGGCAGGGGCTATAAAGACCCTTCCCTTTAAGCCCAATGTAAGACAACTCTGATGGGCCATGGGCCATGTTAGGTCATGAACTTCAGTGGGCAGCCAAGACCATTGTCCAGCCTGCACTGCAGCTCAGCTTCTTGCTCTTTTCAATCCTGTGCCTCCTTTTCTTTTCCCAGAGGTTGATGACAAGGGTATAGTACACCCTAATAAATACAATATCCCAAACTCTGAACTCCATCTCGTTTCAGAGTCTGCCTCCCAAAGATTAAAAACTATGACAATGTCAGACCCTTGTCTCTGGCTTAGTCATTGTTTTGAGAAAGCTTTTGCAAAGTGGAAAGACAAAATACATTTAAACACTATTTATTACAAACATTCTGTTTTATGTTGGAAGGGATTT